ATATCTGTTTCTTACTATTAATACTATCTAATGGTTTTATACTCCGTGCCAAATGAGATCTTAAATTATTACTTTGGCCAATCCTACCAATAATAAAAATAAAGTCTTATATAGTAAGTATAATTGATTGTATAAATTTTAAAACGTTACTGTACTCAATTTTGTGTTTAAGTTTTTAAGTACTAGTCATGAAATAGAACAAGAAATATGTGGCTATAGAATAAGAAGGATGAGTAAATTATTCCACGCAAACTCAGCCTAGCCTATTTGTTGTCCTAGAAATTATCAAAACCAAAGGCAAAACAAAAGAATTTTGATATAAAATATTGAGCGAATATATGCGAATTGTTGCTTACCCATTTTTTCATGTACATGCCAATCTTCAATGATTTGGGTTTGGGAACACCATTGACTACATCAAAGCCATTGAGTAGGGGCATATGGGGAAGTTCATCCACAAACATCTGCAGCCTGGTCAGATTTACAAGCTGCTCTTCCGCCCATGAAGTCTTCAAAAGCAACCCCAGAAAAGCTATTAAAAACACCAAAACTCTCTGCGCCCTAATCATCTCCCTCTCTGGTTTAGCTATGGTTGCATGCAAGAGAGAGAGAGAGAGAGGTGCTTATTGGAAAAGTAATTTTCTGAGTCGGTGTTTCGCGGAAAGGAAGAGGTTGAGAGTTGAGAGTTGAGAGACTCTGGTGTTTTAGAGGCTTAAAAATAAAGAAAGTTGAGTTTGTGTGGCAAATAAGAAGAGTATAAAAATCTTCGCAAGGTTTATCTGAAAGGTTTCTCTTTTCAGATGTAAAACTCTTACTCTGATTTTTACACTTTTCAAACGAAATACATAAACAACACAAAATTAATAACGTGAAACACGTGTGACCGTTGAACTTTATACGCGATTAACCTGTTTGGACAGCGTTTTCTTGTTTGAAAATGTGCGATTCGTCGGACTCGGAATATATTGGAAAAAGAGAAGACAAGGAGAAAGCATTTCACTAATTTGGTTAGTTTGGATACGATTTTAAAGAGAGAAATGGAAAAATTGGTTAAAAGGTTAAAGAAAACACGGCATTTCCTTGTAGGTCCCTGCCTCCCCTTTAGATTCTCCTTTCTCCATTCATTTTTGTCCATGTATGACCTAAAACGTATCATCACTGTCCACTTTTAATTTCTTACAAATAGAAAATAATATTTCTCTCTTTTTTGTGGACTTTTTATTTGTTAATAACTAAATTTGGAAACTGTTATTAATATTTCAAAAATTTCATTCAATACTTTTCACAAATGTATTTTTCTTTTTAATTATAGAAAGTGTAAAGTATCAAATGAAACTTTTGAAGTGCTAAAAATAATTTCCCAACTTTATTCACTAAAAATGTGAACACCTTGCGTAATAGTAATAAATAGAATAGTTACTTATTATTACAGTCTAGTGATATTCCTCTTCACTTGTAAGTGAGAGGTTTAAGTTCGAATCTTACCAAAGGTAAATTTGAACCACATTACTGCTTACTCGAACCAAATTATTGTTTGCCCATTATGAGACTTAATGACACACCCCGTCCCGAAGGAGGGCATGCTGGCCGTCACGTGAGAGTGACGTAACCATTTACACAGTACGGAAGCTTTAAAGATACAATTTCTAAGATAAAACACCCAAAGGTGAGTCCTAATTTTTGGTCCATTCTGTCAGAACACCGTTGAATTTCCTCGTAGTCACCACACCTTTTCAATTCTTGAACCTGGAGGGGCGCAAAACAAAATTGAGTGGGTCAGCAAAACGAACTTATTCAAAACCTTCTTTTCTCTTTTGAATATACTAACCCCTCGCCGTAAAACAAATATAGTTTCCCAGAAAATGAACATATATACGTATGTATAGATATGTCAATCATGCTCCATGATATGCCATTTATGCTCACAATATGCCATTCATGCTCACAATATGCCATTCATGCTTGAGAATATGCCACAACAGAATCTCATAATCAAATATAAATACTCAAGCATAATTCACATCAATAACATATAATCTGGCAGCCGGGAGTCACCTAATGTGACATGTACCGCTGCATCTAGAGCTCTAATCTCAACTCAACATCTGAATCTGCACACGAGTCGGAACCACCTAACGTGGTCTGCACGACAAGCTGGGTGTAATATATATGTATGCTCTAGTGCTACGATCACGTGAAGCTGGCGATAAATCGCGGGTCACCTACAAGTCGGAACCACCTAATGTGATCTCTACGACAGGCTTGCACCTAACTTGGATCCAAGACGAGCATGCGGTGCTGGTGAACATACACGTGAAGGCTGTGCCCTGGCCCTGGACGGGAGCACTAACACCGGGGGTGCAGATTATGAGCTCTCTAAGCATCTCAAGCTACTACTGAATACAAACATGAATACCACTTACCTGGCACTTACCTGTGCGTCCACAGCACCAAATACACATATATAAATGTATGCCACTACCAATGCATGTGATGATAGTATTTCAATCGTATTCCAAACGTATTTCGTACGTATATCAAATGTATTTCAAATGTAGCTTACCTGGGCCTCCTCAGCACCATGCAACAATATGCATAATTATGGTAATGCACATATTAAAATATGATGCATATATGACAGGATATTTAATTCGTATTTCTTTTAAAATACGTTTCTGGGAAATACGTCAAGCATACGTATATATATATATACTGAAAAATAACTGCCCACTCACTGATCACATCGACGTCTCATAGGTCTCTGAACCTCCCCTAGCTTGGTTACATTCTTCTTTTGTATAATTTTCACCTATACAAAAAGTAACCAAATTGACGTTATTTAACGCACATACACCAAACATTCGTCCATAACTTTCTCATACGTTGCTCAATTTGGGTGTATGAATATACCACGGTGATCTACACGACGTCACGAACGCGTGACAATTTTCAGAACTCAATTTGGAGCTGTCACGCGCCCCCACGCGCACTGTTCACGCGCTGCCCACGCGCGCGTCTTCTTCCTCGCGTCGCCGGACTGGTTTCGCCGGAAATAGTGTTTTGCCGGAATTTCTGGGTAAATTTCAAAGTGTCATAACTTCTTCATTTCTTAACCATTTTCGACGTACTATATATCAAAATGAAGGTATTGACGAGACGAACACATCCATACCTGCCTTGACCCCTAACTCGCCGTGGTTTCGCCGGAAAAACCCCTCGAAAGCTCCGGCCAACTTTGACCACGATGATCCCGACGTCCAAACTTCTCCAACGAAGTACTCCGAGGCTCCTTGGGACCTCACTAAGACATCTATGAGCTTCAAAATCCCAAAAACAAGCTAGATTAAATTCGCATGAACAGTGTTCAAAACGGATTACCTCGAATCGACGCGAAAACGAAGGATTTCTCACCTGAAAATGGTATGGTTGTACTCGTACGAGCTTCACGAGTCCAAAAATGCCCTTGGTTCCTTCGATCCATCAAGGTTTGGGTGATTTGTGTGTCGTCCGTACATTTTTTGAAGGAAGAAGAATGATGGACGACTCGGAGAGAGAGAGAGAGAAATGACAGAAAAGAAACAAAAGGGAGAGGAAAACACGGGAGAGAAAGAGAGTGTATGAGTGTGTGTGTGGTCCTACAACACTACACAACACAACACTACACGTAAATGTAACGAACTAGGGGTAAAAAGGTAAATTCACACATACGTTTTTATAATCTCGGGACGGGATGTCACAACCTACCCTCCTTAATAGAATTTCGTCCCGAAATTCAAAACAACCACATATAACCCCTAGTGATTGAATAACAATCTAGGATACAAATCCCTTATCCTATTTTCTGTCTCCCATGTAACTTCCTCGACTGACTGATTTCTCCACAAATTCTTTACCAATTACACTGTCTTAATTCTCAATACATTCTTTTTCCAATCCAATGTCGTCCTTGGTTCCTCAACCAGTCTAATCCGGATTAATTCTCAATAGTTGCATCGGAACTCCATGTGACGAATCTGCCACCTAGTGACAACGCATCGAAATATAATACATTATGCACCTTAGCCAATTCTGAAGACATCACCACTTGTATGCAACTTCATCGATTCCTTTAGTGGTCAAAAACGGTCTGATGTGTTTAAGACTTATTTTGTCTCCTTTCCAAATCTCACTATTTCTTTTCGTGATGAAATTTTTTTTAAAATGTTGAATCATGAAACACATCATGCTCTTACAAACTCTGGAAGTAAATCAAGCAACTTCACCTACTCTTCGATGATCACTTAAAGTCCAAGGTACTTAGGACTTAATTTGCTTTCCTTTCCAAGCCGTATCATACTTTTCTAAAGTGAAAACTTCAAAAGTATAAAATCATCTACGTTAAACACTCGATTAGTGACATGTTCAACTATTAATCTCTTTTGCCATTCCTGGCTACTCTCTGATTAAACTTAATCACCTGAATACTTTGAGAAGACTCATCCATAGTTTCAGGGCCTACCAAAACTCTTTCGTGATCGAATCTTCTCTATCCAGAAGCATTTCTTCCACAAATCAACAAAAATCGACACATTTCATGGTCCTTATGGCGTTACATTGGAAACTGTGCAACCAACATACTTAAGAAACTCAGCAGTTCCGTAACCCAAATCTCTTCTCCATAAAACATATAAGTATTGTTGCACTATGGTTGTTACTCAACACTGGAGTAAATGTACTAACTTGGTACATTATTCAACTATCACTTCAAGTTCAATCCTAACCATCCTATTCTCGAATTCAGCAATCTTTCTTTTTCCCTTCTTTCTTTGCCTTGGTTAATTCTTAATTTTCTTCGTTAACCATTTGAGTCTTGAGTACGACCTTACTAAAAAGACTTAACTTGAAAATTAGCAATTACAACTTCTTCTCAAACTTCCATTCTCAATTTTACTTCAGTTGATTTCCTATCCACAAGAAGACAATCTTGGCAAGCGTGCCAGACATCAACTCTTACCACCGTCTTTTCACCAAGTGCATCAGCTAGAACAATTTTACGATCACCCTGGTCGTACAATCATGTTCATTAAACAATTCAATCCACCTTCGCTGCCTTATATCAAAATCCTTCCAAGTAATGGATATTGGAGACTTTTTGGATTCGTAAAAATCTTGCATTTTTACCACATATAATGTCTTCATAACTTCACAGCAAGAATGGTAATCATGACTTCCAAATCACTAGTAGGGTAATTCATTTCATGAGGTTCCTTTTGTCGTGAAACGTATGTAATCACCCTAACATTTGCATCAACATGCATCCCATACCATTCAAGAAACATCACTAAAAATTTATGATTACCACTATTCTCTGTGAATACTAAAATACGTGCATGAGTGAGGAATACTTCAACTGTTGAAACCTTTACTCATAATTATCATCCCACTCAAAACTTAACCTCTTTTCTCGACAATGGCAAGGCAATGACTGAAAAATCTTTCACGAACCGTCCATGATAGCTTATTAAGCTAGGATAACTCCGAATCCCAATCACGATTCGTGATTGTTCTAAATTCTCAATTTCTGCTACCTTTTAAGAATTCATTTGAATACCTGAAGCAGATATAACATATCTCAAAAATGCTACTTGATTCATTTAACTTTAGCATTTGCTAAACTTAGCATACAATCGACGTTCCCTCGATCTTTGCAATACCAATTTAAGATGTTTAGCATACTTTGCTCTAGTCTTATCAATCTTTTCAATAGCAACAACAACAAATCGATTTAGATATCATTGGAATACTTCATTCATCAAATTCATAAAGTAGTAGATGCATTCGTCACTCCGAATGGCATCACCAAAACTTGAAATGACCTTAACAAGTCCTGAAAGTTATCATAAGGGCATCCTCACCGATAATCTTCAACTAATAATATCCAGACCTCAAATCAAACTTAGAAAATATACAACCACCTAGAAGCTGATCGAACAACCATCAATGTGAGGTTACGAATAACGGTTTTCAATTGTTACTCGATTCAACTGCTTATAATCAAAGCACAGCCTTAACGTCCATTTTCTTTCTCACCAATAAACTGGGGTTCCCCCAACGTAATGTACTAGGTTGAATAAAAACCTTTATCAACCAATTTCCAATTCTCTTAGTTCAAAAGGCAACATTCTATAATATATGGTTTGTACCTGGAGGCAAATCCATAGTGAACTCTACATCTTTAACTGGCAGCCATCCAGGTAAATTCTCAGGGAAAACGTCAGGTAAATGTTTGACTACTCCCACTTCTTCCACGCTACTAGAAGTGACATCACTTAGCACCACATGATATAAATATCCTTGGCAGCCTTTTGATAATAATCTCTTTGCTCTCACAGCATAATTAACGGTCTGCCTCACTTCACTTTGCATACTTACAAAAGTAATCTCTAGTCATCCAGACCGATGGAAAATGACATATAATCTATTCAACATTCGGCTATAAACATAGCTCATACTCTTTCATTCTAATCAACTCAGCCCTCGGCTGCATATATAGCTTATAATCAACTCATCATATCATGTATATAACATAATATGCTCTAGAATAACATCGAAATCCACAATCTAATGAAACAAAAATAGCTGGCAACAATACATACTTTACTAATACTGAGCACTCTGAATAAGTACGATACTAACATAGGATAACCTACCGGTTTACTTGCTTAACGAATCCACGAATAAGTTATTAATATTACGGTCTGCAGCCCGCAATACTGATAAATCATTGTTGTCTCGATAAGTAAGCAACAACTCTCGAGGGTGTAATATTACTATTTGGCCACTCATTGGGAAATACATACACACGTCTCAACCGTGTTTAAATACTACTTTCTAGGCAATAACAATAATAACGTAAAATTTCTACATTATTACCCAATAGACTCTAGCTAAGTCATTAAGAATAATTATCGTACCCCTAATCAAATCCAAATAATTCTGAGTATCCTGCAGTGATGTGTGGTTAACACATCCCTGGACTTGTTGTTGTCTCCCACAACCTCTATTAGTGTAAATACTTCTTTCATGTACACCACGGCCTAACTGACCATAATTAATAGATCCAGGAACTTGCTGGATCGGCGCCAGTTGTGGCAAAGAAAACTGCTAGGGCTTCTGTTGGTTTTGGACATAATTTGCAGTTCTATGTCCCATCTATCCACTTGTAAAGCGTCCAATGCTTTCTTGCCTACATTCTTAAAGGTGTCCATTATTGTACCTACAGCCCAAAGGTACATTTTCTTTACCAAAATCACCTTGTCTCTGAGATCTGGGATTACCAATACATCTATCACTTCGCCTCTGGCCAATGGCATTAAAACCTTTGCCAAAAGAACTAGAATTAGCTTCACTTCTTTTGAAGTTCCGAATCTTTCTATATTCTTGATATGACGAATCATTAACTTTATCGTCCTCTTTTGATTCCCATTCTTTTATCATTCTTCTTTACTTTCGCTGAACATAATCTCAGAGTCCTTAAGGCTCAACAACATCTTGTATACTCCTGATAAGGATTACAATGGATAGTGGTCACCCAAAATACCACTGCCTTATGCCACCCAGCTTAAAACAATATAACACTTCAATCAAAATAGCAGCAATATTTGAATGGGACGAGGCAAGTCTGAGAACTTTCTATAATACTCATTGATCGTCAGCTTTCCTTGTCTCACATTTGCAAACTCTTGCTTTCTACCATCATAAGATGCCAAAGGAAATAATTCTTTTCTTTAAACAAGTCCTTAAACAATTCTCAATCGGCTGTTTCCTTTGGTGACAACGAATTATACTCCTGTTTCCACCAGGATACAAGTTCCTAACTCAAACCAGGTAGTCGTCTCAACCCTTCTGTCAAAAGGAAGATTCCTTTGACTTGCATAATCTAAAACATCTTTTCCAATTGGTTACTCCATCACTTTGCTCCCTCAGGTTCATCATTTCATAAGGTGATTCAAATTCAACTCATAACCCATCTTAAAATGTCCATTTTTGATAATATACTGAATCACCAAAATAATAGTTTCCCCTAACAGCTAAATCAGGGAGACTAAGTTCCTCTAACTACGTGGTTTGCTACGAGACGGTGTAGTTCTGACAGAATTCACTAGAACTTCTTAAGATGTCCAAGATTGAAACTTAGGCTCTGATACCAACTTGACACACCCCGTCCCGAAGGAGGGCATGCTGGCCGTCACGTGAGAGTGACGTAACCATTTACACAGTACGGAAGCTTTAAAGATACAATTTCTAAGATAAAACACCCAAAGGTGAGTCCTAATTTTTGGTCCATTCTGTCAGAACACCGTTGAATTTCCTCGTAGTCACCACACCTTTTCAATTCTTGAACCTGGAGGGGCGCAAAACAAAATTGAGTGGGTCAGCAAAACGAACTTATTCAAAACCTTCTTTTCTCTTTTGAATATACTAACCCCTCGCCGTAAAACAAATATAGTTTCCCAGAAAATGAACATATATACGTATGTATAGATATGTCAATCATGCTCCATGATATGCCATTTATGCTCACAATATGCCATTCATGCTCACAATATGCCATTCATGCTTGAGAATATGCCACAACAGAATCTCATAATCAAATATAAATACTCAAGCATAATTCACATCAATAACATATAATCTGGCAGCCGGGAGTCACCTAATGTGACATGTACCGCTGCATCTAGAGCTCTAATCTCAACTCAACATCTGAATCTGCACACGAGTCGGAACCACCTAACGTGGTCTGCACGACAAGCTGGGTGTAATATATATGTATGCTCTAGTGCTACGATCACGTGAAGCTGGCGATAAATCGCGGGTCACCTACAAGTCGGAACCACCTAATGTGATCTCTACGACAGGCTTGCACCTAACTTGGATCCAAGACGAGCATGCGGTGCTGGTGAACATACACGTGAAGGCTGTGCCCTGGCCCTGGACGGGAGCACTAACACCGGGGGTGCAGATTATGAGCTCTCTAAGCATCTCAAGCTACTACTGAATACAAACATGAATACCACTTACCTGGCACTTACCTGTGCGTCCACAGCACCAAATACACATATATAAATGTATGCCACTACCAATGCATGTGATGATAGTATTTCAATCGTATTCCAAACGTATTTCGTACGTATATCAAATGTATTTCAAATGTAGCTTACCTGGGCCTCCTCAGCACCATGCAACAATATGCATAATTATGGTAATGCACATATTAAAATATGATGCATATATGACAGGATATTTAATTCGTATTTCTTTTAAAATACGTTTCTGGGAAATACGTCAAGCATACGTATATATATATATACTGAAAAATAACTGCCCACTCACTGATCACATCGACGTCTCATAGGTCTCTGAACCTCCCCTAGCTTGGTTACATTCTTCTTTTGTATAATTTTCACCTATACAAAAAGTAACCAAATTGACGTTATTTAACGCACATACACCAAACATTCGTCCATAACTTTCTCATACGTTGCTCAATTTGGGTGTATGAATATACCACGGTGATCTACGCGACGTCACGAACGCGTGACAATTTTCAGAACTCAATTTGGAGCTCTCACGCGCCCCCACGCGCACTGTTCACGCGCTGCCCACGCGCGCGTCTTCTTCCTCGCGTCGCCGGACTGGTTTCGCCGGAAATAGTGTTTTGCCGGAATTTCTGGGTAAATTTCAAAGTGTCATAACTTCTTCATTTCTTAACCATTTTCGACGTACTATATATCAAAATGAAGGTATTGACGAGACGAACACATCCATACCTGCCTTGACCCCTAACTCGCCGTGGTTTCGCCGGAAAACCCCTCGAAAGCTCCGGCCAACTTTGACCACGATGATCCCGACGTCCAAACTTCTCCAACGAAGTACTCCGAGGCTCCTTGGGACCTCACTAAGACATCTATGAGCTTCAAAATCCCAAAAACAAGCTAGATTAAATTCGCATGAACAGTGTTCAAAACGGATTACCTCGAATCGACGCGAAAACGAAGGATTTCTCACCTGAAAATGGTATGGTTGTACTCGTACGAGCTTCACGAGTCCAAAAATGCCCTTGGTTCCTTCGATCCATCAAGGTTTGGGTGATTTGTGTGTCGTCCGTACATTTTTTGAAGGAAGAAGAATGATGGACGACTCGGAGAGAGAGAGAGAGAAATGACAGAAAAGAAACAAAAGGGAGAGGAAAACACGGGAGAGAAAGAGAGTGTATGAGTGTGTGTGTGGTCCTACAACACTACACAACACAACACTACACGTAAATGTAACGAACTAGGGGTAAAAAGGTAAATTCACACATACGTTTTTATAATCTCGGGACGGGATGTCACACTTAACCTATTTCCCCATCCTATAGTGTGGCGAATTTGAATCATATTACTGCTTGCTCGAACCACATTATTACTTGCTCATTGTGAGATTACTTCCATATCTTATAATGTAGACAATATCATTTGTTCAAAAAAAAAAAGAGTTAATAAATCGAATATAAAGTAAAACTTGAATTTGAATCAATCAAATATTGTCATGTAATTTAGTGGTTCAATCTGATACTTCTATAAAAAGCTAAAAAATTTAAATTTTTGCAATAGTTTCCTTTCGGGTTCATTTCTTTACATCACAAATGCAATGCATGGTGTTCTATACATAATAAAAATTAATACTTCAGTAATTACTTTTTGATTTTGTCCAATAATATTTTAACACATGATGCACCGTAAGTATTGGAGCCTTAATTACTGACCTTTTCAGTTGTATTACGTTTTTTTTTCAATCAAATCAAATGATGTTATTTTTGCATGAAAATGATGACGACCAAGGCAAAGAGACCCTAAAGAATACATGTTGATAATCTTGTTTAGGATGTTCGGGTTACTTCTTTTACCATATAAAGATGAATTTTTTTTTTGTCTAATATCCTAATTGCTAGGATGGTGGATCTCCACACTTGAGTTCCGAGTTTGAAAATCTTTTTCTAAATTATTGTAATAATCTTGAACTCTATCCCTCTTTTTAATAATAACATTTTTTTTAAAATAAATAAATAAAAATAATCAGAGTGCAATGCACTGCCCCTTGGAAGTAAAACAGGAAAAATGAAAAAAAATTATGCTATTTGTTTGAGGCAATTCAATAACAATAACGACAATGTTGATATGAAATTTGAATAAGTAACCTTTTAAAATAATGAATTATAGATATACAAGGATTTGCATTGCATACGATTTTATGAAAAATTTTGGAAAGTAATTTTACACACTCGTTCGAAAACAGTAAAGACTTTTCAAGGTTCTAGTAGTGTCTGATATTTCTAGGATGATCAGACATTGACCACCGTGGGAGAGATGAAGCCACATATTGCACAACAAGGGACCAATAATTTGGCCCAAGTCAGGTGATAGTACTTGTTTATTTTCACTTGTTTCAATTTCGAATCATCCATCCTCCCCCCACCTACGAAGTAGAAAACCATCACATCACCACCAAATGTCTTCCCACTTCTCCCTTTGGGACAAATCTAAATAGGCCGCTCTCACACTTGATGCATTACTTTGTATGTATCACTTTGTATTCAGAAGTTTCTCGTACCCAGTAGACCTTCTCAAAGGACAATTTTTAAGGTATGCGCACAAAATAGAACAAATTAAAATTACACGTCAAACCCAATGAGTATTAACAATGTCACCATATTATTAAGACTAATTCAACAACATTTTTGAAATAATTAAACAGGCACGAACATTTGTGAATTTGAACTTTTTCATATTGTTGATCTTTTTCTTCAAGGTTATAGATCTCGACTTCATTTATGTTCTCCGTGCTCTCTATGTTTGGATTTTTGTCAGTGAGAACATAGGCAACTGTGAGAAGATTGATATAGAAAATGATTTTTTCCTTCCTCCTCTTGAAATGAGCTCCTTTGAAAACAGAATGGCATATTGAGAACTCCAATATAGTCGAACGGCTTCTTAGTTACAGGTTCCATGAAGTTGAATCTCCTTAAAATTGTTAGAAAACTACGAAGAAATTATGATAAAAATTACAATAAAGTAATATCTTCTTCTAAGAAGCACGTAGATAATTAGACTTAGGCATGGGTATCTCCCTCTTTTTAAGGAGATTCAAGCCTATTGCGGTTTGACAAAGTCCACGAACGGGTTCAGCAGTATATCCTTTGCCTTATCCCCACCAAGATTCAACAACCCTGCTGAATTGTTGTGTGACTTAAATCTATCTGCACAAAAGGAATAGTCCAAGACTCCACCACAAGAACACCCTTCTTTAACCAATAAGTAAAAACGGAAAGATGGAGGAATGGTAGAATAATTGTTGAAAAAGAAAATTGGGCAGTGAAATAATGAATAAAATTCTGTTGGAGAAAATGCTATTAATTATAGATTTATTATTACCTTTAGTGAATAGCGTAATAAACACAAATTAACAAGACAAAACTTACAAGAGTTACATAAAATGACAACCATTTTATTTTTTCATTAACAATATATCACTTTGTATATCACTTTGTATCCGGCAAACCTTCTCAACGGACAAGTTTCAAGGGTCTCATCATCACATTATCCTCGTGATCCAAGATCTGCACAGAATAGAACAACAAATTAAAATTACAAGTCAAACCCTATGCATGTTAACAATTTCACCATATTATGAGGGCTAATTAATATACTTACGTGGCAATGGTACACGTAGCCAGGCTCCCCAGTAGGATCGAACTCATAGGATGCATTCGAGTGTATGTAAGCCAACCTCAACAGTATCTTTGTCACAGTCCCGGGTCTTATCTTGAAAACGTTCTTCCACCCTTTCTCGTGAGCTGGCACCTCTACAGTTTTGCCACGTGCATACCTGCTTATTTGGCACTTGACGGCGTCGTTCAGCTTATTCATGCAATCTTTAAACTTCTCCTCATTCACCAACTCCCGCTGTTCGAATACAACGAACAGTCCCAAGTGAATGTGTAACGGATGATTGTCCTGCGTCAGATTGATCACGTTCCACACCTCGCTGGTCCCTGCTTTCACAATCTCCGTCGCCGGTGCGTCGAAAGGTTTCGCGTTCAAATAAAGATGTGTCGGCTCACCAGTGTCGCTCTCGTACTCGTACATTGTGATGTGTCGTGTGCGCGATGCGCTCGATAGATTAGGGACGGGGTACTGAATTAGCGTTGACGGAACGCGCGATGTGTCTAGCTCTGGATGGTCAGCAATCAAAAACTGCATGACCTTACCGTTGGCATCGTTAACGGGATCACCGGATGGGTAGGGATACGGTGCATCATTGGCTAGGGTAACATTGGCATTCTTAGACATCGAAAAGTCAACCACCACGTCTGTGATCTCAGATGGCCCCAGCAAAAAGTCCTTGGTCTCCACCGGTTTCCCAAGGTAAGCCGAATCAGACCCCACGTGGATAAATCCCAGACCATTGGTGAAGAAGAATTTGAAGAATCTCGCATTGCTGGCGTTGATAATTCGGAACCTGTATTTACGACGTCGTACCTTCAATTGCGGCCACGCCTTCCCATTCACTATAATTGCGTCACCAAAATATTCCGGCTGCCACTGCGGGTGTATGGAGGGATTGTTTCCAGTAGAATTCATGTATATCGAACCGTTGGTGCGAAAGCTCCGATCAAACACAACCAGCGTTCGATCAAATTCGCCACTCGGGAGTCGAAGCGGGCCCTCGACTTCCGGTTGACAGATAATGTAGGCCCCGATCAAGCCAGCGAGGAGGTTGACTCTGGTCAACCCCATGGTGTGATCATGGTACCACAGGGTCCCGGGTTGTTGCTGATTGCTGTATCGATATGTTTGCTGGGTCCAAGCGGGCCCACGGTCTTTGAACTCGGCGGTGAACCATGCATTTGCGCTTCCATCGCTTGCCGGTTCATGGATGCCGCCGTGGAGGTGCACCACAGTAGGGACGCCCTTCTTACTAGCGGGTATGGCCGTTGGAATGGTCGGGTCCCAAGGCAGAATGTGTTCTGAAGGGAGGTAATTACTCCACGTCACGAAGGTATCGATTCCCTGGAGGGCTTCGATTGTTGGACCAGGGACTGTTGCTGTGCGCTCACTTGTACCGTAGGCGAACACTGGTGTCGCCGGAAGGTCTCTGTGGAATCTCTGCAACGAAAATTATAAAATAAAAAATTACTTGGGAAAACAAAGGGGTCAAGAATTGATAAAATAAGAGGGGGAAATGACCAGAAAAGCGACATCGGAATATATGTTGCTGTCCAGCTTTTCAACCGTGCATATGGAATGGGGTTGGTGAACTTTTGTGCATATTAAATTATTACCTGGTCCGACCTTAGAAAAACATAATTAAAATGGATAATATTAGAGAATT